TTTATTAGTCCAGATAGAAAAAATATCTAAATAAGGCACTAAAATATTAAATTGATTTTTAATATTAGTCGTTTTTCTTTTTAACATTTTTTGGTATACCGGTCTTGTTATCACCCAAGCAAAAGAAGAAATCGATAAGCTAGCTCAACCTAAGTAAAGCGGTACATTTAGCTAGCTTTGTACCGCTTTACCTAGGCTGAGCTAGCTTATCGATTTTTTCTTTTGCTTGGGCAGTTCGCAGCGAATTATATTCTATATATATAAAGGGTGTTCTAGAAGTTCTGAAGTAATTTTAGAATGATTTATTTTAAAATTACTTCAGAACTTCTAGAACACCCTTTATATACCAAACATATATGTATGCTCTATGCGAACCCTGAAGCGCGTCCCAAGATTTTTTAATATACTTCAAGCTGGAGAGTTCGGGTTTGTTTTATTTTAAACCAGACACCGAACCACATGATCTGACAGGCACCGATTTTTCAGTTCAGCCTTTTTTGGTTTTCTTGGCAACCAACAATCTCCAGAATCCGAAAAAGTCTTCCGGATTTTCTAAAAATCCTCAATTTGACAAAAAAACTAAGACCTAATTCAAAAATCGGCGCCTGTCAGTCTATGTAGTTTGTTTTCCCCTTTTAAACAGAAAAAGAATAAACTTGCTACGATAAACTGCTATTAAAAATCTTGGGACGCACTTCAGGTATAACTTCCATGTCGAGAAAACGCTATATTAAACGCTGTTTAAAATGCTCAGTTTTAGGACTTTTAGAAAAATGCCTGTAACTTTTGATGCAAGGTCATACAGAGTAGTGCGAGATCTTGTTTTGATTAGAAACGTTTGCTCTACAAATCTGTGTGTTCAGAAAATTTTAATTGCATAAGTATCCGGGAAAAGATGATTACTTGAACACCCGGTTTTTCGAGGCTCCCAGAAAACTTGCTGAAAATCGGGGAAAAATCCCTTTTGTAACCAAAATCGATACAGATTCTGAAAGTCGACACTTCAGGCTGCGTATCTCAAAATCAATTTTTTTGACCGAAAATCACCATTTCTGAGGGGGGATCCCTAAACGATAGTCAACAATATTCACAGCCATATACCTCAAACTAAAAGGGATGCTTTTCTAAAAAACAGATCAGTATGGTGTACAAATCGCGTACTTTAAACTAGTAAAAAAATCTCTGATTAATGTAAGTTGAATTCGCGAAGTTGGTACAATACGAAATAAGTTTAGAGTAAGCACTCTCATCCCTAAATATATAAAAGATAAATATTTGATGAAAATATGTTTTGTTGGTCTAGTCCTTCTCCTTCTTTCTGCGAACATGTAATCATGTGTACCCTTTCTGTCGCTCTCATTTCTTTCTCTATTCCTTCTTACTCCATTTCTTCTATATAAAAATGAAATAAAAATAAATTCTTAATATACTTCTTAATATAATATTCTCTTAATATACTGTTTAATTTTTTTTATTTAAGTCATGCATTTAAGTGATTTATATGGGGTACTTTGTTCAAAGTACCGGAATTCATCTGATTTACCGAGTACTTTTCGAGAAAAACAAGGCAGTTTAATAATTATCGAGCTAAAAAAAGTAAAATTTAAGCTTTCATCTGAAAATTTTCTTTTTGTCATATATAAAATATTTATATTTAATGTCGTTTTTTTCCATATTCTTCGTTTAATGATTGAAAAAAAAAAAACTTAAATTTCTAAATTATCTTTCCGATTCTGTCACCGGTAAATAAATTCCCCGATGAGAAGTTTGAAGGCTTCCCTAATCAAGTAGTCATAATTAATTTTGACATTTTTCTATGCATCATGCCCTTAATTAGCATATTAAGCGATTTTATTGAAACAGAAACAGGAAAAGAAAAGTGAATAATGGAAAATTTAAATTGACGAACAATTAAAACTAAACTTGTAAATTGTTCTTTAGGAACGGAAAGTTTGGAAAAATTGCAAGAGTGAATTATTTAGTAGTTTATAGTCTCACCATGGACACTTTTTGTTTTGAATAAAATTAATTGAAAAGAGAACAATCGCATGTAAGTGAAATGCTCTGCTAAAATAAAGAAATTTGTTTGAAAAGCGGTACTGATAGTAACAGAAAGGATTACTGTTCTTGGATTCTTAATAGAAGAAGGAAGAAAAACATTGGCCAAGTCTACCTTGTATTCACAGTGGATAAAACTTTCTTTTCTTTCTTCAACTAGAGTTTACAAAGCAAGAACAGATACGTCAATTCTAACGATCGTATTAGAACCGAAGGAAGAAGACGACAACGTACAGGTAGAAAAGTTACTAGTAATTCTTATACGTAGAAAATTTTCAGAAAAGCTTGTCAGAGTAGATCTGCAGGTATAAATGTGAAACTTCTACCAAAGCTCTAGACTTGCCACAGAACAAACTTCCAGATAAAATGCGACGTACGTGCACGTACGAGCGCGACGAACTCGTTTTGTAAACTGAACGAGCAAGTCGAGGCGTCGCGTTTGTAAGTATATGTGCGTCGATGTTTAATACTATGGTATCACACTTTGTGTGGTCTATGAACTTCGACTTCTCTACTTATTTGGGCCAGAGATGAGCAAGTCCAAGTCCGAAATTGAACGATTTTTTTTAGTGGACTTGGACTTGGACTTGAAAGTTTTATTTTTTATCGAACCGGGGATAGACTTGGACTGAGCTCGGACGGGTTCATCTCTGATTTAGCATATAAAATCCTGGATACTAGAGGAGTTTTACAACAGAAGTGGTCAGCTAGAATGACCACAGAACTCTCTGATTCACCAATTTCAAAAATTCTTTCTATCTTTCTTGTTTTTTTAAGTTGGGGGTTGATCCACGAGCACCAGAATCTAAAATGAGTGTGGGAAGTGTCAAAAGTGTGATCTTGATTTAAAGGCACTGTCAGAATTAATGTTAAAGTAATAGTCATTGTGTTTTTACTTTTTACGCATCCATGTTCTACTATACTCCTTTTTCTTCTTCTAACAAAACAACCAGTCTGTTAGCGACAAATATGAAGCTGTTGATCGGTCTTGGTGTCGGTTTGGCTTGTGCAGTGGTAATTGTTGTAGTCGTGCCAACTAGTGTCCTGCTAAGTCGCAGAAGTAGTGCCACGACAACGACTTCCGCACCAGGTAAAGTTGCTTCGTCACTATCCTCATAATCATCATCTAGGAGAGGATTAGTCGGCTAAATCCAAAAGAACGAACCATGTCCTCATTACAACGACCTTCAGGATCAAACTTAAAAGACCGAACTAACTTCATAGCGGTCTTTTTGCAAGGAGCAGAAATTAGTCTCAGAAAAATTCTAGGCACCCATCCGTTCCGGTTATAACCGATAAAACGGAACCGACAAAGGACAGAAACCAATCGTAACTAGAACTGAAAGAATCGAGACCCTGTGTGAACCGAACCAACGAAAACCTAAAATCTTCTGAAAAACAGGCATAGGTCCTATAGTTTGTTGAGTAAAGTGTCTCTGAGTGTCGAACAGTGCTTGACTTTGGAGCACGACACCAGCCGTTCAAAACTTGGCCTGTTTCAAACTGGTGTGCATTTTATCACATATACCCGTTCTAAGTAGTTATGATCGCTCCTTAATACCATAATTACAATTTCTAGCATAGGAAAGGTTAATGTTTGGTTATATGATTAATGAAATTAGCAAATAGAGACGAACTCATTTAAAACGATACATGCTAACTGTCCAATAGACTTGATTCGAGATCGCTTGTTGCTTAATTATCAAGCACAGTTACATTGAATTTTCGTTTGCACTAAGGGTTAAGAATAACTGGAAACTTGCTTCTTAATCAAACAGATTTCGTTCAATCGACAACACTGATATCCGAGATTCAATGTACCGAAAACAACAAAAATAAATCAGACGCACATATAAAGAGTCAGCCGTAATATGATCCAGCACAATGAAAATAGACAACGGCAATGTAGGGACTAGCCTATTTTTCAGAATATTTGAAAAAATGACCGTTTCTATCGGATCTGTGTACTGTTCGCTCGGTTCCGAACGTCTCTTGGCTCTAATCATTTCTGTGCTTTGGTTTCTCGGTTCTGCTCGGTTCAGGTTCTTGTCGCTTCGGTTCTTTGGAACCGATCCATGATTACCAAATATTCGGCTTTCCAGAAAATCTTAATAAAACTAGCTTGGTTTTTCGAGATCTGCCATTGGTTTACATAGGCAGTCCCGACTAGACCTTTAGAAAATTGGAGTCGAGCTTCCTCTTCATTTTCTTTGACTTTCGATTCCACGAACATACACTTGTCTCCATCCAGAAATGCCGGGGAAACTCAAAAAAACATCACTCGGAGTTAATTGACTATGCTTGTCGCCGTGACAGTACATCAAAAGCTAGTAGGTTTAGCAAAAAGTACGATAAGCAGAAATAGAGCAACACTGTGTAAAGCGAGGAATTTGGTTTCTGATTTCTGTATACTGCTGCATTTCTAAACCGCAGCGTTGACGTTTGATTTATCTTTTCATTCCCATTTAGATAACATTACATCATTTGTTATATCAAGTAAGTCTCTCTATGTATGTTTTAATTAATCAGATAAGGGAGTACCTTTTGCACTTTTTACTTTTACCATAGCAGCCACCTCCGCACTACAGACAACAGCAACTACCGTACTACAGACAACAGCAACTACCGTACTACAGACAACAGCAACTACCGTACTACAGACAACGGCAACTACCATACTAGAGACAACAGCAAGTACCGTACTACAGACAACAACAAGTACTATACTACAGACAACGGGAACTACCATACTAGAGACAACAGCAACTACCATACTAGAGACAACGGCAACTACCATACTAGAGACAACAGCAACTACCATACTACAGACAACAACAAGTATATGTCCTCAAGACACTTCTTTCAACTCCACATGTAAATCAACCGACACTCCTACTGGGATAAATCCGTGCAACCCAGTAACCACTTGCGATCCAAATTCTACACTGATATATTATTATAGTAATTCCCCAGCGGTCATTGATTGTGCAGGAAGCTTCGCAAATCCGGGTACAGAACTTTTCGTTTACGCACCCACATGTGACGCATCCACGACTTGTAGTACTGATACGGACTGCCAAACTTATTTCGACGCTGTATGCGTTAGTGATCCATCAAGTTGCGGTGTTGCTACCGGATTTTGTGCTGTCAAAACAACCGGACAAAATTGTGGACGCTCAAGTTAATCACACAAAAAACTTTCAACACTGTACACAAGTATATGTGTCGCTCCTACTTCTTTAACCATGTTTAGTAAAAAAACTATACGATGACAGAAGCTTTTCAGATGTCACTTTTCTAGAGCGGGAAAAAGTTCCATCGTAGAAGTTGTTGTACTCGTGGCGACCTCTGTGCACAATAGACGAAAATGTTTAGAAAGATCTTCATTTTATAGTTTACTACTTCACAAATCGATCTGCTACCACTGACCTCTTCAGCTTTTTGATGGAAATCACGATACTCGCGATTTTGTAATAGACCTAATCCTAGGTCTTCGAACAATTTTTGGAAATTTATATCTATGAGTGCATTTGCGTAACCGTTCAAATAATAAAGATCTAATCAAGTGACAATGTTCGCGTTCGAAGTATTGATATTCCGAACGTAAGCTGAATATATGAAATAGGTCGGCGCAGACTGTTTAGGTTTATATGGGGCGGATATGCTGAACTAAAAGGTACAAAATAAGGCTGCGTCGCAGCTTTGTAAAAGATGTTACATTTAGAAAAAAATTCCCTATTGGTTAATTAACATTAAGTACAAATAATTAACGCATTTTGATATCTCCCAAGTTACCTTAATACTAGCATCACTATCGCCACGTGATTGTAAATTCGGTAAAATAGTGTCGTACGTGAGGGGTAAGGGTGTTTGACAAATAAACCTGACGATATTTTACTGTTGACGAGCAGATGCATCTCGAGAGATTTGAATGTAAAGACATGCATCTGTGAAAATCAAATTAAACGTGTAAACATGCTGGACAGTATTACGGGTAAGTCGGTTTATATACTGATCGAGAAAATAAAGAATGATTTTCTTCCTCTTCAAACAAAAGCACTCCAAAACATTTCAGCCTAAAATTTAACAAATTCTTAAGGTTCGGCTAATTCGAAGTTACAGCGCCATCTCACATTTGAATGATAGTCACATAGATCGGTAGAGGGCGTCGAGCTGCACATGGTGGTGTGCTCAGAATCCAGAAAATCCCTTTCCTTCGCCCTCAAATCGCCAAAATACTGAGACGAACACCGAAATCAAAATAAGTGCTTCCTGTGAGTATTTTGACCGCCGTTTTTTTGCATTTCACTCTAGCGCCTTGAATGTTGCACGACTGGATTCAGCGCATCAAACTGCATAGGAGCACATGTTTTTAAAATTCCGAAAAGCCTTTTTTCGATGCGGCAAAAAATCCACCGTGAAAAGGGCAGTCCACGGCGGGAAAAAACGATCTAGTCCATGGATTTTAGAGATAGAGATTTGGTTCTTGCGCCAAAATATGCGTCGTGAGACGGGCTGTGGTTCCCAAGATTTCAAGCTTAACTCACGTTGTTGAATGCAGGGTGTTTTAGGAGTTGTTTTTTCAAGTCGGTCGGCAAGATATTTGCGGGCAGCTTGAGCCCCAACTCCTGACTCATGACCCAGAGGCCTTTGCTTTGGCCCTTCCGGTGTCCCAAAGAGAAAAAGCACTTGAGAGTCAGTTTAACTCCGATGCTGTCCACATGGACAAATTGAGAAAAAGTTGCTGCGCCGTCTGATGCTTCTGTTCGACGGATACTTGATACATGTTGAGAAATCCTATCTAGATCAACATGATAATGTTGTTCTTGAATATCTTCGATTACTGCCTGGTGATAAATTTCGAATGATCATTGTACATAACACACCACACAACGAGCAACGGCAATGTACATCAACAATCAATAAAATATTTGCTGAAGACGATCAAGGCACCGATAAACTACACGTTTCTCTATTACCAAAACTTGCTAGTGCAAACGATCGAGAAATTCAATTTATCATCGAAGAACTACGTGAAGAGATACAGGCAAAAATGGAGGCCAATACAAGCGAACGCAATGACAAAGAACAGATCAAATCTAATATCCGTAAACTGCTCAAAACCGATTATGTTCAATATTTGAAAGACATGGATGCGATTGCATGGACAACAACATAGTCACATCTCAACCGGAAATTTTCCTCTGTATTTGAAATTCATCGAAGTGTGTCGTCTGCGTCAGTATTTGAAACAAATTTCTATGGCTCACAGAGTGAAGATATCTATCAAACTCGAGATAAACTGTTACAGCTAGAATGTGGAATGGATTCAAACAAACAGCAGAAAACAGAATATGGCGCAGTATTTGATTCTTTTGTTGAATTATTGGAATCGCCGAATAAGTTGATGAGTTTAGATTTATTATCGTCGGAATTGAAAGCAGGACGGATGGCAATGAGAGGAGCAAACTGGCTGGTAAGCTGAGTGTGGAAAGCGCCTTTCCATCCTTAGAGGTTTTATGGTGAAATGCTATTGTCTGTTTCGATCATTGCGACATAGCGAAACAACAGACATAGAACAGTCAAGAGAAATGCAGTTTTTATCAATGGATAGAGTACATGATTCTGCATAACTTCGAGCAACAAACTATATGATTGGCTGCTTGTTAACTGAGCTGTAGACTCAAGAGGGGCTGCGACACGAGTTTTCACTTTTCGAGGACTACAAATTCCATCGAAGTTTTCACAGAAACTAAAAAATTATGACCGCAGATTGACAGAGCGGAAAAAATACTGCATAAAAGTAAAAAAGACTTTGTTCCGTCCACTTGTAAGAAGAAAAATGTTAATCAAGATAAAAGAGGTGCAGGAAGCATTAAGAAAAGAAGGGTAAAATAACCGAAAAACAAAGTGTTTTGTTTACTGTACACTAAGGAAATAAGACCGAAAGAGATCTTAGCAGTATATATACTTAGGACATATCAAAAGTATGGACAGTGACACTTTAATACTGTATAGTAGGCTTAAAGTAACTTTCATCTATATAATCTGATAGAGAAAAAAAAGCTCTGCCTTTGTATGCTATTTGATCGTACTTCAACTAATATCATAATATTAAATTATCTTTAAAACCGATTTCGGCTGGTTATGTGCCGGTTGTATTCATGCTAATTTTGAAAAAATACGAGTGAGTATTTTTTGAATAATTTTTGATAGAAACAGGACCGAGAGCTGCAGTTTTCACCGTTGGAAAGAGGAGATGAGGACGCATCGAATCATATATTATAGGTTTTCTTGATCTGTTTCTTGTAAGGTTTTCAATTGGCCTTTTTAAGAACAAACATATTTGATAAGTTGTTTATAATGAATTTTCAATTATTAAGTGTAAATTCAACCCACTAATCGAAGATCTACAAAGTGCGGAAGGTTGAGATGAATAATATGCATTTTAGGCGAGCTTCTAATAGAATTTTCTAGCAA